CAGACTTGCTGAATTTTTACTGCAATTTCTGTTTCTCTTGTCTTCATCTTATTGTTGTGGGCTGGATTCAAACTAAAAGCTGAGAAGTTAAAGGATAAGACACTCAGAGAATCTCTTGATTTATTTCTGATTTCCAAATGGACCATATCTCCTGTCAACATTTGGTTCCAACAAAGGGAAACAATTACATAAATATTTGTGTTTTGAATGAGCTAATTTGCCACACTAATACTTTATGGATGTTAATATGTTCAGTAGTGCAATAGAGCATTTGTTGTGAGTATTGATACGAACCTTCTACTCAAGGGCAGGTGATGGCCTCGTGGTATCATCACTAGACTGTTAATCCAGAGACCCAGATAATATTCTGGGGAACCTGGGTTCAAATCCTGCCACGGCAGATGGTGGAAATTGAATTCGATAAATATCTGGAATTAAGAGTCTAATGACAACCATGAACCCATTGCCAATTGTTGGGGATAAACCCATCTGGCTCACTAATGTAGGGAAGGAAACTGCCATCCTTAGCTGGTCTGGCCTGTATGTGACTCCAGAGCCATATGTGGTTGACTCTTAACTGCCCTCTGGGGAATTCGGGATGGGCAATAAATGCTGCTTGGCCAGTGATGCCCTTATCCCATGAATGAATAAAAAAGAAAGAAACTCAATCAGAAAGTTACAGCTGGAGTGGTGTGAGGGATGTAGAAAGATGAAAAAAAGCTATTCAAAAGGGTCATTAGAACTAAAATAAATTGATAGTACTTTTGGAAAATTTATTATAATATTTTAGAATGAGTGCAGGTACAATACAAGAAGAGAAAAAGCAATTTTATTGTCCAAAAAAGCAACCAAAGTACAAAGAATAAAACAAACCAATACAGAAGTGCTGTGTAGCAACACATTATTTGGATAAAGTTTTGTACGATAACATTTTGGTAGTCAATGAGAAGGCCAAATAATTGGAGTATATTTAATAGATTACCAGTTTGGTTCCTCAAATAATTCAAACACCAATAGTTTATCCTTTTCATCTCATTAGAATTTCCTGTACAGGATCTAGGGTGAACAGGCAGCTACTTTGACTTCTTCTAATGCCATCTGATATTTGATTATTTAGGATGATTTAAAAAATGTTTTAACATTATCAGAAAGACAAATTCAAAATATTCACCTTGAAAGATAATGAGATAAATTAAACGCAACAAAAATGAAATATTCTGTCCATTCTTTGTTTTATCATTTTGTTTAACCTTCGACAGGAATAAGTTTTTGACTTAATTGATACAAATGTTGCACTGTGATATTTTCTATGATCAGCATCCTGGCATTCACTGGTGCAACCCATACATGAAGAATTACCTACTCCCACATTTCTTAGTAGTCTATATACAGATATTGGGATCCTCTAGGACTTGCAACAAATGCACTTAAACAAAATAACTATGTGTGGAACCAAAAGGCTTTACAAACCAACATTTTCAAAACAGGAGAAAATGATGGGTTGTTTCAGCATCACCTGTAATAAATATTCTACTTAAGCCTATTGGTATATCTATTATTACTATACAAATAGTATGGTTGCATACATTTCCCAAGTTCACATATTTCCTCCATCATATTTCAACTCATGTCATATCTGAAATATTCTAACAGAAACTCTTAAAACATCAACAAATCACATATGTAAAAGAATAAATTGTCAAGTTTCAGCTTGGCTCAGTTCATTGAATTCTCTTCTTTGAATCAGAAGGCTGTGGATTTAAGCTCTGCTATACCTAACCGAAGGTCACAGTCAGTTCATGTTGTGCTGCAGCGTCAGAAGCGGCATTTTCAGATGATTCTTTATTTTGAGGCCCTGCTGCTTAGCCAGTTGAACATAAGAAGTCATATGCTACTATTCAAAAGATAGGAATGAATCCCCTATTGTCTGCGCATAGGCAGGGCAGTGGTGTTCCCTTTTGGCACCATTGCTATTTTTCCCCTGGCATTCGCTAGATGCTAATCTCATCAATCGTCTTCTGCTCATCCCACCTAGTGTTGATCCCAACTAGCCAACCAACAACAACATTCCCCTTTCCACATTTCCTTCGAATGTCCAATCCTTTGTGAACAAAGTGAATGTCATTTTTGAACTTATTGTAGATATGACAGATCATGGCTTATAAATAACAACTCCTTGTGTAGTATTCAATTGTTCCACATTTGATTAAGTGAGTCTTTTTACTATTGATGTTCATTGTACTTGATTCATTAAGCCTGTATGTGGACATGGAAAAATAAACTAAGCTGCAGAAAGAGCTAAGAGACAAAGCTGGAATCATGGAATAAAGAACTGTGCAGAAAACCTATTACAGACATGGAAACTCATATTGTTCCTACATGAATTGAGAAATAAAATATACAACACCCTGCCCCTTCCTGAACCTGCTTTGCCTGGCTGTATTTTATACCAATTGCATCCTTCAAACCCACAGAAATCACTCTGTTTGCAATGTGGTCTTTATCACTAAATCTCACACTGTTCTATCCATTTCCAGTTCATAGTGGGTTGTGCTTCCTTGTCATTTATTAGAAGCATCTGGTTGAATCTTAGCCTCTAGTCCCAACTTTAGTTTTAAATGCAATTTTTGATATATTTTTGATCTTACTGACTGGTGTTCAGAAATCCTGTCAATTTGGTGGATATCTGGAGAAAATGTGATCTCTGCAGCATGTGCTATTTAGAAATAATGAAGAAAACAAGAGACAGTCTGTCAAGGCTGATCTCCACTGGAAAGCACTGGACAATCTCCTTTAACTTATTGTAACTGCAGTAACCAAGGGCTTAAAAGATGATGAGAGGTGCACCTGCCAGTCAATTATTGTCCAATTCAGTATCCAGATGCACATAAACTCGTGAGGGCGATTTTATGCCACTTTTTAAGGGGTCTAGTGGGACTCCGAGGAATTTGAAATTGTTATAGAGGGAGATTCTCAATTGGTACCAAATTGATTTTTAAAAAACTAAAGTCTGCCAAAATGCACCTCCTGACCTCATTTTTTAAAAATTCTGTTTCTCCACTGTGTCCCTACCCGACTGAGAGTTTCTCACTGGCACCCTCACTTCTTCCCTCCTTCAGCCTTGCATTTAGATTATCAGTAATTTTACTCTTTGCAGGGATGACACGCAAATTTGTGAAGCGTTCCATATTTTTATGAGCTGCCAGAGGAAGTGGTGGAGGCTGGTATGATTACAACATTTAAAAGGCATCTGGATGGATGTATGAATAGGAAGGGTTTAGAGGGATATGGGCCAAATACTGGCAAATGGGACTAGATTTATACAGGATATCTGATCGGCATGGACAAGTTGGACTGAAGGGTCTGTTTCTGTGCTGTACATCTCTATGACACTAATTACCACTCACTTTCTGATCTTTTCTCCAATTTCACTGTTCCATTGTTCCAACTTAACTTTTCCTTGCAAAGCAATGTTCTTACTCCAATTACTCGTCACTTTCGAAGATGTGCCATTGCACATTATCTCTATTCTCCCATCATCTCCATCACAAAACCATCTCTAACCATTTCCTTATATTCCTCAATACTCACATTACCTAACCCTCCACCAAAGTCACTTCTTTCTGTTCTGATCCTTCCAGTTGTGATGTAACATTAACTCTCTTTCTCTCCACACATGCTACCTGATCTCAATTGCTTTTATTGCAACTTTTCTTGTGTGTCCAACTCCAGAAAATAACTTCCCAATTCACTTACGACTGAACTCCGAATTGTCAATTGCCCAGGCTTTACTTCTCCACGTCAGTCTGTTTTAATTACTTCCTCAACTCTCTCTTGATATAATCCTTCCTCCATCATCAGATATGGATCGTGAAATCCATTGTCACTATAAATGTACTGTTAAAGTGTATGATCAAGCAAAATCGTTGTCAGCATTTTGTAATGGAATAATACATGCCAATTACCTGGTATAACCTCCTGTGTAACCCACTTTGTGCATTTGCTCATAATTAGGGTCGCAATAAGCGTTCCCATCATGGCTTCTTCCTCCTCATTGCTGTTCCGTCTACCCTACAGGAGGAATGTAAGGGCAGTTGAACATGTGAGTGTCAGCTAGGACTTGTGTGATTCCATGAATTGTGCACCCAAATATATCCATTTGGGTGAGGTGGCTCACAATACCGAACTTCGGTGAAGTGTTAACATCTTCAGAGTACTATTGTTGGGGGGATTTACTTTTCCTATCACTCTGGGATAGCATTGTCGAACCTGCAATTTTCTGATTCATAGTCAAATTCGACTTCCAATAAGAGGCCCAGCCTCGATTTTGAGGTTCCAGTGCAGTGCTAAGTGCTACATTGTCAGAAATGACATCTTTCAGGTGACACATTAAACTGAGCTCCACTCAGGTGGTTGCAAAGAGGAAGGAGTGGGGGGAAAGGGTTGCAAGCTCTGCTAAAGCCCTATCCCTTAACCAATATCATAAATAATAATTTTGAGTCATAGTTTTCACAACACTGAAAGATCGTCGGCCCATCGTGTCCGCACCCATCATCAAACATCCATCTGTTTCAATCATATTTTATAATGCAAGTTCCATTCTTTCAAGCAAAAGTTGTTATTTGTAATCCACATCTTTCTTCAACGCAAACAGGTACAAAATACCACACGAAAATAATCAGGACCAACAAAAGACAGACAAAGCAACCCATTCCCACTGACCGCTGAATGCCAATTTAAACCGATTAACTGCGCGCGCCCTGGCCGTTAGACGGTGGAGGGAGTTTCGCGCGCACGTCGAACGACATCGGCCTTGGCGCGCGCGGCCGTGAGGAGGGAAGATGTCTAGTTTCTGGCGTCAGGAGGAGCGAGAAGCAGCGGGCGGAGTGGGGAGTCGGGAGCGGGTGGAGACGATTGGAAATCTGACCAATGGAATGCAAGTATGTTGAAATAGTCCCGCCCTTCCGTCCCCCGCCCTCAAACCCTGGTCCAATGGGAGAGGCTGATGTTAGCGCGAGTCGTTTTCGGCTTGTTGTCCGTAGTCGTCGTGGTCTGCTCTCTTTTTCTGGACGCGCTGCTGCTGTTGCCGCACCCACGTCCATGTATTTGTACTAGAGAGGCGGAGTTAAAGGAGGAGGGGTGAAAGGGAATATAGAGAGCAAAAGGAAAGAAATCGACTTTAGGGTGGCTCTTAAGGTGGTGGGGGAGGCAATAAAGCCAATATCTTTACCGTTTATTGAAAAAAGAATCGATAACCTACGCGTAGAGACTGGCGACGGTGTTTCTCCAGTGGAAAGGTAGGAAGCTGCAGCAAAGGGTTGAGGAAGATTTTGCCGTTCAGTGTGAACCCAGCGACTGTAAACTGACGGCTGGTCGAGCTCCGCGTCAGTTTGGTGTTATTTGTGGTGGCGGTTCACACTGGCGTTTTGTGTGTTTTTTTTTCATATTGCCTCGAACGGTGAACGTTTTCTTCGTCAATCGATGTTATTACCATCCATTTTCTTTCCCTCTCTCTCTACGGGCAACGCTGTATTTTGCTTGTCGGCAACCATAATGCTCAATTCGTTTCGTGATCCCCATTTATTTAATGTTTTAATTTTGCAACGAAAAAGAACAAAACCCTCCCCCTTCGCGCGCGCACACACGGCCCCAACCACTGCATCCTGTCCGGCTTCTAATATACGGCGTGTCAGTCCTGCAATGTGAAATATGACAAGCTGCCTGATGTCGATAAACACAATCGCGGTGTAGCAGATGTTGCAATCTAGGGGTGGAAGAGAAATAGCAGCCCTTATGGACTGAATGAATTTAATATAACGCGATCAGTGTAACTGCATTTGACAAGTGTTGCTGTTCGCTTCTGTGGACTTCATCCTGCCTTTCATATAATCGACTACCTTCAATGCTGCTGGTTCGTGTAATCTGCCCATATTCTGATTTTATTGTTAAATATTCTGGAATAAATGCGTTTGTTTGTAACATCGGATACAGCAGCACTGATCTCCAGTTTGCAAGGAAATGTTTGTTTTGAGGGCAGCCTGTGAACTATAAAGGACCCTGGAAAGGAACGTCTATGTTCTGAAGGCAGTGTGTGATCTATGAAGAACCCTGGAATAAGGCTTGCTTCATTTTCTTTAGTTTTTCCGATCTGAGTCCATGTTTCTGCCGTTGGACACGAACGCGATCATCAATATTTAATTAAGTGGGTGGGCTTGAGGCACTCTGGAAAATCTGCTATTAGGTATTTCACTAGACGAACCATAACCAATCTTGTATAGTTAGAAGGTGTAAATCAGATGACAAAGGTTATGTTCAGAGCAATCTTAAAATAAGGTTGCTATTGACTATGAGGCTATTCCTTACTTCCTGCCGACCTTCCCCCTCCCTCGTAAAATAAATACGCGACTTGTATGACGAGCACCAAAAGAGAAGTAAAATTTGACCCGTATACTGCTACGGGGGAGGCGATGGCCTGGTGGTATTATCGCTGGACTGTTAATCCAGACACCCAGACAATATTCTGGGGACACGGGTTCGAATCCAGCCATGGAATTAAGAATCTAATGATGACCATGAAACCATTGTCGATTGTCGGAAAAACCCATCTGGTTCACTAATGTCCTTTTAGGAAAGGAAACTGCCATCTCCAGTGTATATGTGACTCCAGATCCACAACAATGTGGTTGACTCTGAACTGCCCTCTAGGCAATTAGGGATGGGCAATAAATGCTGCCTAGCCAGTGATGCCCTCATTCTGTTAACAAGTTTTTAAAAAAAAATACTGATACTCATAGAAATTGCTGCACCACTTCTAAACCCTCCCCATTCAATTAAAGTCATGAGGGTCATGGATAGGGTAAATAGACAAGGTGGGGGAGTCCAAAACTAGAGGGCATAGGTTTAGGATGAGATGGGAAAGCTTTAAAGGGGACCTAAGGGGCAACTTTTTCATACAGAGAGAGGTGCAAGTATGGGATGAGTTGCCAAAAGTGGTGGAGGCTGGTACAATTACAACATTTCAAAGGCATGGCTACATGAATAGGAAGGGTTTAGAGGGATATGGGCCAAATGCTGGCAAGTGGAACTAGAATAATTTATGATACCTGGTTGGTACGGAAAATTGGACCGATGGGTCTGTTTCTGTCCTGTATATCTCTGACTCTACAGCTTTTAATTACATTTTTGGGAGGAGGGTTGGAGGAAATATTTTTGCTTTCATTATCCAAGCTGGAAGACCATTCTAGATTTAAAATTTAAGTGGTTCAATCTTCAACCTAACCTTTTTTAAAAACTATCTTGCTTTGTTTTGCAGCTATGGCTTAGTTTATCAAAGTTAATTAATCTTTTCTGTGATACTTAGTATTTATAATGTCCTGTCTCATTGGCCTGTTGGTGTTTTTTTTAAGCTTTCGTAAACGAGCGTTCTAACAGTGGGCAGTGCTTCTAGTCTTTTTATTATGCTTTTAAGGCTTGCTCACCTTGAGCTCCATGACCAGAAATGAATAGAGAATTCAAGGTGTGGTTTAATTGGAGCACCATATAACTTCAACATGATGGCTTCTTCCTTGTCTGTGAATTGATACAATTGTATCATACAACAAGGCTGAGGAGGAGCTGAATTTTGTTTGAGACAGATAAATGTTTGAGTATAGGCTCTTGCAGTATTTCCTGCTTTGAAACTGGAAGACAGTTTTTCAGCTTTCATAGTTCCATTATCATGCTGGCCTCTTAATTTGTAGCTTTCTGCTGAAATCAGATTTGCGAGCCTTATTTTTGAAGTGGACCAAATGGTTGTCTGGGAAGATTCCAAAGTTGTGGTACAACTAAAGCAGAACAGTTTGGTTATTTTAAATTATTTAGATGTAGTCTTCTGTTTTTTTTTTTAGGTTAATTTCATAATTCTCCTTTGCCATTTTCCTCCCAGTGCGTTGGTTTGTTACCTCTCTGGCTTACGTAAATAATGAATGAACCATGTTAGCGCTTCTGAGATCAATTGAAATGAATGGAATGTGAGAAAGTTGTTTATAGCTCCAAGTACTGCTAATTTTAATTTTAAAAGTATGTTTAAAGTATTAAGCACGAAAGATCTCTATTACTCTAACATTTCTGACATTTTAAAATTTTAAATTTTTTAAAATTTATACTATACAGATGGTACACTGAGTATAGTTTGGCAAATAATTAAGTTAGTAATTGCTCTCAGCAGATGCCTGTATGCAGCTTTAAGCTTAATCGTTTTAGCTAGGCCAGCTAGACAAAATACATGCTTGCTAGGTTTTGCTTTTAACCCTTTGTTTCCTGCCAAGTTGACTGTTACCGTATTTAGCTATTACATTTGAGTACAGAAATAAGATTTAATTTTTAGTATGTTGGCTATTTTAATATATTTGATCTGAATTGAAGGCATCAGTTATAAGTTGTTTTCAGTTCAAAAGAGCTTGTCATTTTGTGCATTTACAAGAGACTGGTAGCTTGTTTCGTGTTCATCAAGCGTGTGCTTCTCTGTCACTTTTGTGCATTTTCATTATTGTGTATTTGGGTGTGCGGATAGGCTGTTTGCTCTTCATCCAGCTCTGTGTGACATCTTGACTTTCTCATTGAATGTGGAATCATGCAGTACAGAAGAGGCCCTTTAGCCCATCGAGTCTGTACTGCCAGAAATACACTACTGATTGCAGTAGTCCTACTTTTTTGCACTAGGTCTATTGTTTTATTTTAAAAAAAAAAAAATCGTCAGTATATAAATATATTAAGATTTTTGTGCCTCAATACTGTTTTGAAGTGTCTGATTTATTTTTATTTGGGAGGGGATGATTTAGTACTTAGGATGGGTGCTGTAAGATCCCATGTATATCTAGTACATCCAGTAAATCCAAGCTCTTAGTGATTTCGTTTGTGGGTCTTCACGTGACTGAAGACTCCAATGCAGAGTTGGTATGGATGTCCTTTTAGAAATTGCACTTGGTATTGCAGGATCTTCTTTGGCACGACCACACATGGTATTCCTCTGGAGGTCAGTACTGAAGCCAAGAACTAGCAAAGTACACCACTAAAACCAAAATGGATTTCTGCACTATAGTTTTACTTTCCTTGAGTTTTTAATCTTTAAAACATTCTGATTGTTCGCTCAAGCATTTAAAATGATTACTTATTCAGCTTATTCATGTGTCTAATCCCCAAATATCTATTATAGCTGCTGTCTAGACTATTTCAAAAGACATCTAATGCAGAATAGGGGACAAAATAATATTTTCTCAAGGGCTTTTTTTAAACAGCAAAAAGTGTTCATGGGATATAGCCATTGCTAGGTCGGCACTTACTAGCCATCCCTAATTGTCTTTGAGAAGGTGGTGGTAATGAGCTGCTGTTTTTGTTTTGAGCCATAGCATTCCTTCAATTTGTAGAGGCAGCCATAGTGCTGTTAGGAAGGAAGTTCCAGGATTTTGATCCAAGGATGCTGAAGGAGGAGCAATGCTATAAGAGGAACTTGCAAGTTACGATTTTCTTGAGGTCTGCCTTTTCATTTTGGTGCAACATTTTGGTATTTAAACATTTTAATTCAAAAACCAAACTGTTGAATTTGCAAACTTTCAAATGCATCTTTGTTATAAGGTATCAAAGAAATAAGAGACTCCTGGGCTGGTGGCTAGGCATCCAACGTCAATTAGACAGGTTTCCTTCATTCATCTGTCTACCTTGTCCTCCTTCAGATATTAAAGCATACTTGAGGCTTGAACTGTCAGGCTGTTCTGGATTGGCAAGATGCCCAACTTTTTATATATTGCTTAAAACGTTTTAAAAAGAACTTGTATCCAGAGAAGCACCTGTATAATCTTTTAAAGAATAAGCAAAGGGAAACAAACAAAAATCTGAATTGTCTTAGATGCCTCCAAGTTAAAATTTACTTTCAAAACATTTATTGGGAAAATATAGAAGGGGATGAAAGACAGTAGGAAAGATTTAATGTTTTACTTTTTTGGTTATTGTTGTTGCGTAGTACTTTGTAAATTTGAAAGCTAGGCCCAGAAAGAACCTTTTTGAAAAGAATAAGTTTTTCATTAAAGAGTTGGGAAATCATACAGATTAGTAAACAAATGAAGAGGGCGCACTAGTAATGATATTACAATTACACAGCTCTTCTGTGGGACTTTTTTTTTTCTTACTGATGCTCTGTAGCTTAAGTTTGGGGGGAAAAAAAATTCTTGTGCTGTCATTTCACTGAGGTGGCTTCAGGCTAATACACATCCAGCAACCTAATCTGAAAACTCTCAAACAAAAACAGAATTTGCTTGGAAAA